CTCACTGCTTGGCCTGAAATTGAGGCCTGGGGACATCAGCAATGGGCAGACTGCTGAAGGCTGTCATTGGTAAGATCTACCATCTCTAGCTTTATGCAACAGCAAGCCTCATGCTCCCTGACACTCATCTCCCCCCCCCCACAAGCTTGTAGCCCTCATCTGCCTCCCCCCACCAAAGTCTGCTTGCTTGTGGCTCCTGCCTCCCATATACACAGAGGTTTTCATTTAATGAATCCTGCATTCCTACAGAGAAACCAGAAGTACCAAAATTTCAGCTGTTAAGCAATGGAGACATGCAATGACCTGCTTTATGACTGCATCATTTGGTAACACATATTTTTGTCCCAATTGCCATAGTAACCCCAGGACTACCAGTACTGTCATTCCCACCAGCCTATCTTACGTAGTTATTGCAATTTGTGTGCAGACATAGAGTTCCTAAGGAAAGATCTCAGTCATGATACTAAGATTTTAGCATTGGGCTGTATATTAGCCAATCTTACTTGTATCTGGTTGTTGATGTCATTTTTTCATGATTTTCAAGGAAACGCTGAAAAGATTCTTTTGCTTCTTTGTATTTTAATCTTGCTTCTTCTTTTTCTTCTTTCTCTGTCTGGACTTTGTAAGCATTAAAGGCTTGTTTCTTCTCACTTAATTTTGCCAAAGCACTGCAAATTGAGGAAACATCAACTAAAATTAGTCCTTTTATATCCAGCTTATTAAAAAATAGTCATTTTTGCAAAGAATCGTTTAAAATAATATAGTGATACCTGTATCTTGGATCATTAATGATCATTTTCATAGCTTGTTCCCAAGAGGCATTGGATGGCACACGCTGTGAAGACAGAAGATAAATCACACAAGCTCTGGAACTGACATTTTGTTTTCACAAGTGAGGAGCTAAAAAAGAACTGCTCCATCTTATGTAATTTTCTGTTATCTAAAGGAAATTAAGTTATCTGGCTTGTTGTTTTACAATCAGGATAATATTTTTTACCCAATATAATTAATATATTTTCCCTCAAAAAGTTCTATAACAGTGATGACAAATATCATGTATAGCACACTTATATAACCATGATGTCATAGCATTCTTCACATTTAGAGAAAAAGCAAGTCCAAGAATACTTTCCCAATTCCTGTTTTTTTAAAGGTATTAAAACTATCACTCAGAAAACATCTTTTTGATTCAGCAGTTATGTTTCAGCAATCACCAAGAATGAAATCATAATGATTAAGTAGAATATTCAAAATTTTAAACACACCTAATTCTCTTTCTTACCTCAACTAATCTGCCTAAAACTTTCAAAACATATAAGCAAAAATGAAACTTCCATATTAAAAAATCTTTCTCCCATGGATTTTTATAAAAATCCACCTGTTTAAATAAAGTATTTAGTATTTACTTTTGCATGAATGTTACTCAAGCTCTTACAAAAATCAGCAACTCTCCTAATCAATTATATTTGTAATTCTTGACATTTAAAAAATAGTTGATTCAGTATAAAAACCTTTTCTTTCAATAGTTCTTTAAATGCTTGCTTGGCTTCTTCTTTTGTATTCCAAGTATAAGTTTTTTTCACTGGTTGGGCTTCCTCTTCTTCCTTTTTGGGTACAACACTATCAATTAAAAAAAAGTTGGTTACTTTAACAAATAGCATTAATTAAATAGAATACCTATTGAGGCAGTAATCATAAATATTAGGCTGATGCCTTTTAAAAAATAACGAGATAAGCTAACCATCTTGGGTTAATTCCAAATACATTAATACATTTGACATGCATCATTTACTTAGACAACTGATAAACTAGATGTCCCTTAATACAGGGGTGTCAAACTCAAGGCCTGCAGGCCAAATCCAGCCTGTGGGGTGCTTAGATCTGGCCCGTGGGACCACCCTGGAGACAGCGAAGGACTGGCCCGCGGTGCCTCTGCCAGCGAAAACTGAGCTCGGGAGGGCTGTGGGTGGCCCTCTTGAGCTCCGTTTTCACTGGCAAAGCATTCGTGCCGCCCCAGTCCATGACAAGTGAAGTTGAGCTGGCCACCCCCACCATGGCCACCCCACCCCCCGCGATCAAACATAACCCTGATGCGGCCCTCAATGAAATCAAGTTTGACACCCCTGCCTTAAAATGAGCACTCTTAAGAAAGTTAGTGTCCCTTAAACCTATCCTCCAAAATCAGCCCCCTTTGAGTTTAGGCTCCTCCCACTTTTGCAGTGCAGTTCTCAATGCTATGCAAAGCTTAAAGAGGCCCCTGAGACAACCCAAATTACATATTCTTGCCATAAAACCAATCACTATTCAAAAGATTTAATCATTTAATTTAGTATAAATTACGTGTAACCAATTCTTCAGGCTACTGCAAAATGGAATGTGCCTAGCAAGTGCTCTCCGCACATGATATGCAGTCTATCAGAAATGAGATGAAGTTCGGGACAGAAATTGCAATATAAAGAAATACCATGTATAACACCCAGAGTTGGAAAAACAAGCCTACAGGAAAAAGATTCCAGGTTTCACAAGAAGGTTCTCTAGCAGGAAAAATAAGTGAAAGCTATTCTGGAAACTTTTCCTTTCTTATCTTTGTTACAGGAAATGGAAAAGAAATTAGAAGATAACCTACTTAACCATTGTGGTTGTCTTTTCCTACTGCACAATTTAAGATGACAAGGCCCCAAAGGTACTAGAAGTTATTAACTAAAAGGAAAACAAAAAAGAAAAAAAGGGGGCGTGCATAAGCGCACCAACGTGCCTACCGTCCCTGTCCTATTGTTTCTCTTATCCTTCTTTTATTTTTCTTATATGTACCCATTTCATGTATTCACAACTATGTATACACTTATACTTATTATCTTGTAAACAATTGGCAAATCAAATAAATAAAAAAATAAAAATAAAAAACCCAGTACTTGTCTTTTCTCCTTCCATTTTTTAAAGAAACGAAACCTGTTTTTTTTTTTTATCCCAAACTATGAAATATTCTCTTGCAATATAATAGCAGGTGAGTATTAAGAACTATTACTTACTCCGAGGATTCTTGCTTTGGCATTTCTTCCACAGAGTTTGTGATAACCTCCATGCTCTGTTCTTGTACAGCAGAAGGAGCCGCTGGCTGCACCAGTTCGTCTGCTGAAGGAGCTACCCCAGCATCATTTTCTATAACTGGAGTCACAGCAGAAGGCTCTGCTTCTGGAGCTGAGGCCACGGCAGGAGCAACAGGGGCTGAGGGTACAGGTATTGGTGTTTCAGGAACATTGGCAACAGCAGCTGGAATCCCTGGTGCAACCGCAGCAGATGAAACTGGAACAGATTCTTCTGATTTGCTATAGAAATAGAAATCATTTTTGGTTCTAAAAATCCTGCCAATTTCACAAAAATCGTATTTTCCACTGCACATCGGTAAATAACTTTCCCCATGAAAAGTCCAATTTGTAACTGATTTACAAGATAGGGATATAGCATCAGCCTCTAACTTTTTGTATCTCCTTCAGAATAGGCAAGGCATAGTGTTTGACAGCATTAATGCCTTAAAATTTCTACTAAAAATCTAATGAAATACAGGCTGATATAGAATTCTTCTTAGCAGCAGTTCTATTACATATAAGTCCATGTATCTGCAGTTATAAATAGAATATCAACCCTGCACTTTTAATTTAGTAAACATGGCTATTAGTTATTAATAGAGTTGCCAATTAATATACTTAACACTTCAAAATCTATTCAAGACATCAATGAGAATCATATTCTGCATATTCTGTTGTTTATACCAACAGTTATTGAACATTTAATACCAGCATGTTGAGAAGCTAAAACTGTGTAAAATTCAGCTGCTGGACTGCAAACCAGGAATGATACAGTACTAGCATTGTTTCAAACTCTGTTAAGTTTGTCAATTGTTTTCTGAATGTAATTCGAAATGCTGGTCTCAACCTTGATGCTAAATATATAATTACCTAAGTACTTTCTGAGATATTGTCTTTAATCTCTACTTTTTCTGCTTCCAAAAAGGTTTTTAAAATGAATTAATCTGTTCATCAGTTTTGTCTGCATTTTAGTTTAAATACAGACACAACATCTTTAAAAAAAGCGTTTGTAAGCATACCTGTTTTCTTCTGCTTTAATCATTGCTATAAAAAAATAAAAAATATTTATATATTTAAGATACTGTATATCATTTTAGAGATAGACCCTAAAACATTTTGCATGTGAAAAAATCACTTTTTTGATTTTTAAGTGAAAATGATATAGCCTATATGTCAATAGCGTTTCATGAATGAATTAATAACTTTTTCAGACCACAGAACACAAAAGATATTTCAAAAATGTACAGATGTCAGACTTTCAGGGGAATGGAGAACTGAAGACGTTTTCACAAAAACAAAGCCAATGATCATGGCAAAGACCAAAGAACCAGTGAGTAAACTAGTATTCTGGAATCTCTCCAATTAAAGAGGACAAGAGATCGCAAGGAGACCACAGGACAGTGATTTTCCACAGGTCTGAATGCCAGGGAACAAAAGGATTAACCATTTTGTTCATAACCATAGTTGAGCATTATAATGACCCTAAATTTGCAAGCCCTGCTGTCTAATCACTTTTGAAAATTACCTATTAATTAAAGCTATTAGAGACCTTTGGAACAACATTTGGGTAGATTTATCTTTAGTTCTGAATAAAAGAAAATATAATTAAAAGTTTAAGAACTTAAAAGAATTTAAAATAGACAGCAAAAAGCTAAGTAAAATGTTGATATATAAAGTTATACAAAACTTAAGGAATTTAACGAATTTGAAATATTGATTTTCACCATAAGATTTTGGAATTAACTATAAAATAACTTCTCATCAGAAACAGACTTATTTTGGCTCTCCTGGCTATTGTAAATCATATCAAAGATTAAGTTACTTTATGATTTTAAGATGCTAGACACTAAAAGGGACCAAATATTCTAAGTAGAAGGGAAAAAATACAAGCTTGTTCTAGATGTCAGTTAATAGTGGGACTTACAAAATGACACAAATGTTATAACATCACAAACATTAAAAAATTAGACAACATCAACAGTTTTAATAATGGAGGTGTTAACGAAAGAATGACAGGTGTGGAACAAATGTAATCTGACATAGCACAGAAAGTACCAAAACAGACTTTATCTCATCATACAGAAATCTGTGTAATGGGATAAAGAAGAATTAAAGAGAAATAAAAGTCCTATAACATTTGATTGGATTAAAGATTAAGACTATTAGACATAAAAGAAAGGAATGTAAAATGGTTTATTTGATTAAGGTTAAAATAAAACATTGTTTTGCAAAGTTCTTGCAACCTTTTAATTGCTTTATTTGCTGAGACCAGGACTGATGTTTTATGAATTTGGTCACAGATAAGGGATCAGATGAATAGACATTTGTAACCATATAGGGGTAAAGAATTAGCAAATTTGTTAACACCTTTGTTAACACCTGTGATGAATATTGGAAGTCACTTCTTTATATATTTCTTTTCTTTTTCTTCATTTTATTCTTTTTTTTTTTTTGCATTTTCATTCTTTTTCTATTCTTTTCTCTTTTTCTAAGTTTAGTTTGTATTAGTTTTTACTTATAATCCAACTTCTTAATGAACATTATATTTAAAGAATGCACATCTTGGATCTTTTCATCTTAACACTAATGTATGAGCTAGAGTATAAACCCGTAATAATTTCTGTACAATTTTGGAACTTCCTACTAATTCCAATCCCAAATGCTAAAATCAGATCACTGCCTAAAATCCTTTAGAATTGCTGTCTGAGAATTGCTGACTGTATCCTTTTATCTCTTGTCAACAATAATTTCTCCAATTATTCCTCTAACTAAAACCTTTAAAATATCTTAGATTATTTCATTATATGGTCTGAATTTCCTACCTTTACTAACTGGAATTGTCGCTGCTATCTATATAGTAGCTTATGTTGAAGATAAAACATCATGATAATTACCTTCAAGATCTTCCAGTTCTTTGGGTTTTGCCCAACGTGATTCCTTTGTTTGAGAGTTGTAGTAATAAGGCTTTCCAGAATCAGATTTGTATTCTTTCCATGGGCATTTTGACAACAATTGCTAAGAAAGGGGAAACAACACAATATCTTAAACCATTCTATAATACAGAAAGGAATGTAATAAAATGCTTTTAGAATCTTTGGATGAAGATGCAAAATGCAAAGATACAAGTTACACACAATTCCAGTTATGAAATAAAACTCTTTTGGCATCCTCTGCCTACTGCAGCATTAATATGAAGGCTAGGATATTAGAACTGCACATCGAAAGGAACATTTTTCTTAATAGTAAATATTTCTTTTTAATTCAATGAGACATGGGTAGTTAAATATTCTCAATTCTTTTACCTCTGCAGGGGTTTTAAGATCATCTGGCTTCTCCCAGGTAGACTGCTTGGTCTCAGTATTGTAATAGTATGTTCTTCCATCTGGCGACTTATGCTCTGACCACGTAGATTTCTATGGAAAATAGAACATTCTATAGAAAATTTCTTTCTTGGGATTTTAAGATGGAGCATGACAAAACTGTTAAGAGAAAAACATGATACCTGTTTTGAGGGCTCTTCGTTAGTAGAGTTATTGGTTGGAGTGGCTTGTTGCACTGTACAAACTGGAGGCGTAGGCTAAATAAAAAAATATGATATAAAATTTAATCCAGTGAAATACAGTTATGTTTTTATTCAAGAGATAAAAGGGATACTCTTGTTCCTTAATTTTATTTCTGTATTTTAGAAAGCAAAGGTTTTGATCACATTACTTTTTAAGCCTTCATCAGATAATAACAAAAAAAAATGTCACTATAAACCAATGTACCGTATTTCCCCAAAAGTAAGACCCAGTCCTGTATTTTTTTTTGCCACCAAAAAAGGCACCAGGTCTTATTTTCGGAGAATGTTTTCCACTGACTCACTTAGCAGCAGCGGCATCAACAGCTCTGCCCAGCAGGACCCCGCTGCCAGCCCACTCCTTCTGTGGCTGCTTGTTGCCACTTGTGCACATTACCCCCAGCCTCCATTTCGCTGTCAGAGGCCTTCAGGAAAGGCCTCTGTAGCTGAGGTCCGGATTGATTTATGTATCGCCCCAGCCTCTATTTTGCTGTCAAAGGCCTTCAGGATTGATCTGGAGCTCTGTTATCGGCTGCAGAGGCCTTTCCTGAAGACCTGACAGTGAAACGAGGCCGGGGGCAATGCATCCAAGTGGCGGCAAGCGGCCGAAAAAGTGGGCCAGCAAGGCAGGTGTTGGGGTGTGTGCAAGGCCTGGCTGCAACTGTCTGAAGATAAGCAGTTCAACTCCCCATCTCCACCCTTGTTTGATTTATGCCCGTACGTTTTGCCGCACCCCCTGCAACCAGGTGCAAGAGTAGACAGGGTCCTAACTAGGGCTTATTTGGGGAAAGGGAGGGCCTATATTGGGCGCACACGTAAAAATCAAGCTAGGGCTTACTTTCAGGGCAGGTCATATTTTCAGAGAAACACAATATTTCTTACAATGCTTTTAAAAGTCCCATGGCTGAAAAGTTCATAATCTGGTTTCTTGATAGATTCTAAAAGCTATGGGTGTAATCAAGAGGGATGCATGCTTGTTTATTACATAGTTATTTACTCAGTCATATTAATAAATTGATGGTGGCAGTTTGTGCCAACCAGATAAGACCAAATTGTATGTGTTAATGGTCCAACTTCTCAGTTGGATTTCAAAAAGCAAAGCAATTGGAACAAAACCTTACTGAACATTCTCTGACCTGTTTAATATAAATGAAGAAATATTTCATTTCAAGATCGTAAGATGCTATTGTCATTTCTGCTGCTAATCATATTTTTATGATGTATCTTGTTTCTGATTCGAATCTATAGAAGAGATGGTAAGTTTGAAGCTATGTCTATGCACAATGAAATATAACCCAATCTACAAAATGGCAGTTATTCAGAAATGAAAACTACTTAGGTTACAACAATGATGAATAGGAAACCCCTGCTTCCATTAAATGTAATAATGCTTACTAAAGTAGCTTCATTAACTATAGTTTAATGTGCTTTTTAAAAGTAAATCTGCATTATATAGAAATGAAATCACTGATTGCAATAATCAAGCCTAAGACTCAAATGTGCTGATAGCAATGGAGAAGTGAATAGAATATGATCTTAATTATTTTATAACAGGTGATTGCATAGCTATATGCAAATAGCTATGTCTAAAATAAAATAAAAACTCAATAAAGTAATGCAGACATGGAAAAATAAATTTATACTAAAGATAAATACTTTTCAGATGTGAGGTCATGAAATTTGAGATTTCAAGACAGTACTTGCTGTCCTTTTTGAAGCCTTTCTATAAGCCACATTCGTCTACAGCAGGGGGCAGCACAAAACCAATTCTGATGTCAGAAACCTTATCAGAGTCATCAGATGTAGGAAATAAAAGTTGAAAAATACATCCAAGAAGACGATAATGAAAAATCGCTTCCACAATAAAGCCAAGAAAATTCATCAACATATTAATATGATTACAAGGAGTCAAAGCTCATTGTAGGAACCCTTTTATATACTTTCCCTGTAAGGAAAAATGGAGCCTATAGAGATTGCGTATGAAAATGGTTACAGATAGAGTTCTCGACTTATGACCATTGGTTTAATGATGGTTCTAAGTTATGGAATAAGTAGCTTACAATCTGTCCTCAAAGTCACAACTGCTACACCATCCCTGCAGTCTTTTGATTACAGTTCGGGTACCTGGAAACTGGCAATCATTTACAAGGATTGCAACATCCTGCATTCACATAATCATGATTAATGGTTTTCCCAGCTTGCTTCTGATAAACAAAATTAATTGGGGAAGCTGGATTTGTTTAAGCACATGATTCACTGAACGACCATGATTCACTAAATGACTACAGTAAACTCGTTATAAAATGGGGTCCAGCCATATGATGACTCATTGCACTGCTTAGCAACCAAAATTTCAGGCTCAACTTTGGTCATAAATTTAAGATTACTGTACATTCATACCCTTGAAAATTCTTAAGGATTCAATAAATAACAAAAACATTTTATAACTTAAAAATTGTGTTTTTGTGCAAATTTGCATTACAAAAACATTTTCCAATATATTCATAACGCCCTGATTGGAGCTAAATATATTATGTTCTTACATGCTCTGAGAAGTAATTCCTAATCATTACTATATTAACTATTAGGGAACTTGCAAACTGAGGAAATGTAGCCTAATTCAGTCGCCATTCTGACCAAGCCTCAAGTTTATGAAACTTGTTTCTCATTCTTGTTCCAGAATAGTTACAACAGGTTAAGAAGCATTTCATTCTATTTTTATGACAAGAATCTCTGGGAGACACGCGGCATAAAAATTTATCAAATAAACAACAAAGTACAAATAGTTAAGTACGGTATATTAAAGGCTCAAAAATCTACAAAATAGCAGGCATGGCATTGGGATCCAAGCCCTGTCCAATTTGCATACGTGTACAGCAGGATTTGCATTTTAACACACCTGATAACATGTAGATTTTGAACACCCTGTAGGTTAGTTAAAAATTACAGCTAGTTTTTAACCGTGGTTCATTAATACTCCAAATCATCATTATTTAGTAGTTCTGGTTTGGCTATATCAGAACTAGCTGAAACATCAGGCATGATCAGTGGTGGGATTCAAAAACTTTTACCACCAGTTCTGTGGACATGGCTTGGTGGGCGTGGCCATGTGACTGGGTGGGCATGGCTTTTTTTTTTTGCAGCCTCCACCCGTTTTTGGGAGCTTCCTAGCCTCAGAGGAGCCTCTGGGGATGTGTTTTTGCTCACCTAAGGCTCCTCTGGGGCTCTGGAAGAAAAGGAACAGAGCATGGGAGCAGCATGCAGCATCCCTCCAAGCTCCGTTTTGGGAGCTTCCTAGTCTCAGAGGAGCCGGGGGGGGGGGGCATTTTTGCTCACCTAAGGCTTCTCTGGGGCTCTGAAAGGCAAAAAATGGAGGGGGGGGGGGTCCTGAGCTCCTCCCTGCATTTTTTGCCTTCCTGGGCTTCAGCAAGGGGAATCCCGGCACAGCTGATTGTATCTACAGCTAATTGTCGGGAGGGGAAAAAAAAATACCTTAGGTGAATGTCAGGCAGGTGGGCGGGGTGAGCATCGGGCGGGAGGGCGACTGGGTGGGGGGCGTGGCCAGCCAGAACTTACTACCAGTTCGGCGACCCACGCCAAATTCTTGCTAGGGGTTTGCCCGATGTGGTGTGAACCGGTACCACCACTGGGCATGATCCTGTCATAATTAAGCACTTTTGAATGAATCCCATCAAAGGAAAATGTTTACTATATATTAAATGCAATTTAATGTAAGCTTTTGAATAAAATGAATGCACACAAAGATCATATCTAGTTCAAAATTACATAAGTGATAATTATGTATATGATATAAATTATGAGTTCTGAAGCCAAGTTATTGTATTTTACCTGCATTACTTATCATATTCAAACTTTATATTTAAGTATGAGTATTCTAAGACTTTGACAAAGTTAAGCACTGGAATTTCCATTGCTAAGCAATATGGCCATAAGGTGTGGACACACTGCTTAGTGAAGGCATTCCCTGCAGCCCCAGTTGATATTAACAGAATCCCATGGTTATTAAGCAAGTAACCATTACAACCAAAGTCCATGGAAGCCAGCAGAAAGTTGCACGTTCTAGGCCCACAGGCAGATAAGTGGCTAGAAATGACTGAATTACCAAGAAAACAAAATGTTTTTTCTTACCTGAGTCCCAGGGGGAGCTAAACCTATGCAGAAAAAAATTGAGAAACCAATTTTATGGAAATACTAAAACAAACCCTTCCTGATTTACTTAATGTGATTCAAAAAGGTTTCAAGTTTATTAAAATAAATTGGCACACAAGTCCTATATTTAACAGCTTACTTTCCAGGAACTACTTCAGGCAGAATGTCATGAATGTACATTTTGGCAGAGGCCACATTTAATTAATACAATTTAGACTCTGGGTAGCTTATACCAGTGGTCCCCAATCTTTTTTGTACCAGGGACCAGTTTCACGCAGAAACACTTTTTCAAGGACCGGGGGAGGGGGGGGGAGGAGGAGTCCGAGTTTGGTGGTTTGCTTGCAGACATTTCATTACCTGACTAGGTAACATCTGATGTTGTTACCTAGTCGGATAATAAAGCGTCTGCCAGCAAACCACCAAGTTCAGGGAGCGCCAATGCCTCCTCATTGCAACCCTGAGCGACAGATATTCTCTTCTATTGGGACATTTAAAACGGAGGGTTTCAGCTGCAGATTCAGGAACTGCGCCTGGCTGAGGAGCGCCTTCAAAACTGAGCGCTGGGCGGCGGCGGCCCACGGCTGTCTCCGCGGCTCAGGACAAGTCCCTGCAGGATGGCTGAGAAACCCCGCCTCTCGGCCCTGCCTCCCTCAGCCTCATCCCTCAGGTGTCTGCCTCGTTCCTCTCTCAGTCGCTCTCTCGCTCCTCCACCAGCCCAGGAAGAAACTGCTTCAAAGAAGCCGGCAGGATGGCTTTTCCTGTCGGCGCAGCTCCCCCGAAGCGCCCGTTCACCCCCACCCCGCTGCCAATCAATCCAGGTTCAATCCAGTGCTCCGTTCTGCCTGCCTGCCTGCCTGCCTTCGTTTCTGGTTGTTTCGGAGCAGCTTCGGCTGAGTAAAAGAGGCGAATAGTTATTATTCTCAGCCGAAGCTGCTCCGAAACAACCAGAAACGAAGGCAGGCAGGCAGGCAGAACGGAGCACTGGATTGAACCTGGATTGATTGGCGGCGGGGTGGGGGTGAACGGGCGCTTCGGGGGAGCTGCGCCGACAGGAAAAGCCACCCTGCCGCCTTCTTTGAAGCAGTTTCTTCCTGGGCTGGTGGAGGAGCGAGAGAGCGACTGAGAGAGGAACGAGGTGGGAGGAAACCGAAGCCACTGAGCCAGAGAGTAGGACAGGCTTTGGTTGCTTCCTCCCTCCCCTTCTTTCATTTGTGTCCTTGATCCCTGATCCCAGCAGCATTCACCGAAGGCGAAGAAAGCCGCCATTTTTATTTTATTTTTAATTTTTATTTTCTTTGCGGCCCGGTGCAAAGTGATCCACGGGCCGGTACCGGTCCGCGGCCCGGTGGTTGGGGACCCCTGGCTTATACTTAAAATGAAAGGCAGAAATAATAAAAAATAAAAAGGCGTTCATAGGTGTTCAGAAATTAGTTATGTGTTACATGCAATCAGCCAGATCACATTTTAACTACCTAATTTCCTAGAAAGCATCATTCATGCCAATATTCCAGTACTTCTCTTCCAGAGCGGCTATTACATTCATGTATCGTACAAAGTTAGCTGCGTTGGTTAGATTCACTTTTGCATGTTGCATGAATTAACCCACTGTGCTCTACAAATATATTTTTATTGTTTAGCAAAAATTAAAGTTCACTATGCTCCACAAATAAACCTGAAGGAAAAGCTGTCAACTTTCCTTTCCTTCAAAAACCTTGAAGAATTTATTCCTAGTGTTACTTTTCAGCCATGACACCAAGTAGACCTAACCCTAAATTTATTTTAATTCAATGGGATTTCCCATATATTTTACTGTGGTCCACAAACAAATCTGAATGAAAAGCTGTCAACTTTCCTTTCCTTCAAAAACCTTGAAGAATCTAGTCCTAGTGTTACTTTTCAGCCATGACACCAAGTAGACATAACCCTAACCCTAGCCCTAACCCTTAATTTATTTTAATTCAAAGGGATTTTCCCATGTATTTTGCTGTGCTCCACAAACAAACCCAAAAGATAAGTGGTTGCTGCATGGTGGGGGAAGGAGCAAGAGGGTGCATAAGAGGATGGTCCGGGCATGCAAGAGGGTCAAGGAAAGTATGAAGGGGTGTGCAAAAGGTACTATTTGGGTCAGGTATGCAGGATGGCAAAGATGCAAGGAGGTACATTTGAGGTGCTGTCTGTGGAAGGTGAAAAGGGTTGTGCAAGAGGCTCCACATAAGCCAGAGAGGGTACAAATAAATTCTTACTTATGCTTTGATATTTTGTGACGTGCTTTTAACATAACCACCTAGTCACTTAGGTGAGATGGATAGTATAGAAATGTGATGAATGAAAAAATAAATAGAAATATAACTGGTGGGCTGACACAATCCTGACCACTCTGTTGTTAGAATTCTTTCCCCTAACAATTGTTAGCATTTTCTCTTGTAAGGATGTATTTTTCTAGCTGAACTTTTAATCCAAAAATATTATTTCTAAAGACCATAAAGTTAATTTGTTCCACTATAAAAACAGGCATTTTCAAAATTTCCTTGATAATTAAATTAATGGCAAAATTTATTTTTAATTAAAAATAATATTTCTTGTAGCAGCTTAAATTACTTAACAAATAACTAATTATTCATACATACCGATTTGTGAATCCATGCTATTCACTCCTGGCTGTAAAAAACAAACAAATATATATATACATATTAATATATATATACCTATTTCATGCCGCAGATAAAAGCTATTTTGAATGACAATACAGACTTGTTTATATAATCTTTTTTGGTAATAACATGGAAGTGGTTTATCTTTGCCAGTTTTTTTTTTTTAAACTTTCAACTCCAGTCTTTTGTGCTTGTATTTTCCGGTCATTTCCTGACCAAGTACTGACCAGATCCAAACTTGCTTAGCTTTTCAAAACCAGACAATACTGGTTAGGAAGAAAACAAGCAAACTATGGACAGACCTCAACATACAACCAATAGGGGCCAAAAATTTTGTTGTTGAGTGGTATCATTATTAAGTAAGGCATAGTGCAACTGAACGCAATTTTACAAACTTTTCTGTTATTTGCAACTCATTTCCAGTTCTCCTTTGACTTTTGCTTTACAGAAGCTGGTTGAGGATGGTTGTATATGGCAATCTGCAGGAGACTGTGATCATTATAAATGTGCACCAATTTCCAGGATCTCAAATTATGATCACATGACTGTGGGGCACTTTGACAGTTCTTAAGTGTGAGGACTGGTTGTAAGCCAGTTTTTCCAGCACCACTATTAACTTCAAAAGTTTGCTAAATGAGTGGTCTTTAAGCGAGGACTATCTGTATTGTGGAAAAAACCTACACTGATATAGTCTATGGTCACCGGCTCTGAAGCTTAGCTCAAAGGACACTATTTTTAAAAAATACATGTTAAGTATTATTTACCGTATTTTGGGGAAATAAACAGTCACTACCATTTCATGCAGGTTCCTCATATTTGGATCTTAGGAATGTGTTTTGTGTACAATCATGCAAGATTAAAAATAGTTACATAATAGAAAAGGATGAAAGTCTGGAATGTTTATTCATTCATGTCCTGATCACCTCATGGCTTAACTACTGTAATGCGCTCTATAATGGGGAGCCTTGAAGACCACCTGAAAGTTTCCACTGATTCCATTGATGCATTATTTGATTCAAGATGTGATATGAGACTTAGTTGCTTGAGGGACTGCCTATCTCCATATTATCTACCCAGCCAATTTGATCTGGCAGGATTGGCACATGTCAGGTTCCCTTGACTAAGCAATGCCATTTATCAGGGCACTGTAAGTGCACCTTCTTTAAAGCAGCACCTGCCATCTAGAATGAGGTTCCCTTAAGATCCAGACAGTCTCCAGTTGTTGGTATTTGAAGGGTCTTGAAGACTTGACAAGGGCGACCGAAACTTTCTTCAAACTCCATGGGTTGTTTTCCTTTGTTCTCATCTGTTTTTGTCATCCTGTCAAGTTTACCCTTTTTAAAAAAATCTCTTCCCCTCCCCTTCTTATTTTAAAGTTTCCGACAACTTGTATTCCACCCAGTTGATAGGAGTTGGGCAGCATATACTGTAAATATAATACATTACTATTTTCTCTTAGCAATTATCTATTTCTCTCAATCATCTATTACTGGGAAGAGGAAAGATTAAGCATCCTCAAATGTCATTTATATAGGCAGTTTTAGTCAGCTTGCTGAATTAGTACCAAGGAGTACCACCACATAGAAAACAATGTATTATATTTCCATCTTAATAAACTCAGAAGACTTTCCAAAGTTTATAAAATTTAGAGGTAGTGCTTTCAATTTTTGACCAAAAACTAATGCAGTTGTTTCAGAACAAGAGTAATGACAAAGCCACTCCCACAAAGCTAATATGAAGAACTTGCAAAGCCACTAGAAATGGAGATGGCAAGGGAGAGTCTTAGTGATAATCCGGGGTGGGATGCTACTGGTTCTGCCCGGCTCCATAGAACCGGTAGCTCTGAAGAGCAGCAAACACCGAACCAGTTCTGTGTTTGCTGCTGTTTGGCCCACCCGCCCACTTACCTGTCCTTTATTTCCTGCTTTTTCAACCTCAGCCGCTTTGCGCGACACAGCTGAGGTTGAAAAAGCAGGAAAAAAGTGCCTTTTCAAATGCTGCGCACTTGCGCGCAGCACTTTTCAGCTGTCCGGGCGGCACAGCTTAAGGATTTTTACACACGCACACAGTCACCGAACCGGTAGTAACACCGGTTGAATCCCACCCCTGGTGATAAGAGATATTATTTTGATATATATGCTGCCTTTCTTCCAAGAGATCTCTCAGGTAAAAATTCAATTTTTGAAAAAGACAGTTAAGATATTAAAGATGAAAGAGATCAGAAAATTATTTTAAAAAACCAGATTACAGGATAATGTACATTTTACTGTACAGAACAAAAAAGAATGCATAGATTTTTGTAATGCTTTTTGTGGAGAATTAGCATTTCATAATTAACTGAAAATGGAGACCAAAAGAAAGAAAATAAATGCTTGCATGTCTAAAAAAAATCATAGGCTACTGCCAATAAAAATGAAAAGCAATTGAGGAAGCTTATAGGGAGAAAATATAAGTAATTCAGTTTTGATTCTTTTCTAGGATATTTAATTTGGATAAGCTGGTGGAAACTAGACAAATAAAAAAAAGATTCTATAGGAAACGCTTTGATTCATCTTCACTGGTTCACTATTTTTTTACTGTCTGTAAGAGGGAATTTTCTTTTCTCACTAGCAAGTGCAGAAATTAATATACTGTAGTCTATTTATTTAGCCATGTGAATCAAGATTATTAATGATATTCAGGCACACAGCAAAAATATAACACAATGTAAAGAGACAATATAGAGAAAAAAAGGTAAAATAAACCCCTGAAACCTAAAAGATTCAATGAGAGAAAGAAAGCTGAAGAGAAGCATCTTGCAACAGAAATGTTGTGTGAGCTATCAGACAACATAGAGTAACAATCTAAAACACTGATTAAGTCAAAGAAAAGAGACTAAAATGAAGAATAATCAGGAAGTCTATTTTACAAATAATATCTATAATTCTTTTTCACTTATTTGCCATACACAGTCCATGCCCAATTTCAGCCTCTGTTCACATCATGAATTTGGCATCAATTTGGTTTTGAGATTGTAACAGAGTTGACCTTCTCAAGTTAAGAGAGTTTGCATTGGTTAATACTTCAATAAGAGACTATCAGGGAAATCTGGATCTACTATGAAATCATCAGGAATTGAGACAAGTTAATTTTGCATAACTATTAAAGCTAAACTAGTCATTCTAGTAAAACAGAGTAATCAAATATGCATTTTTCACGTGTACCTATAAAGTAGAGGTTTGGACATAGAATTTAAATGACAAAGGGAATGCTGTTCCCTACCTCCTATTCGCAATCTAGATACAAGTAGTCCTCGACTTACAACAGTTTGTTTAGTGACCAAAGTTATAACATTGCAAAAGTGATTTATGACCATTTTCACACTTATGACCAATATAGCATCCCCATGGCCACGTGATCAAAATTCAGACACTTGGCATCTAATTCATATTTATGACAGTTGCAGTGTCCCAGGGTCACGTGATCACTTTTTGCAACCTTTTGACAAGCAAAGTCAATGGAGAAGTCAGATTACTTAACAACCATTACATTAACTTAACAACTGCAGTGATTCACTTAACAGCCGTGGCAAGAAATGGGGCAAAACTCACTTAACAAATGTCTCACTTAGCAAAAGAATTTTTCAGCTCAATTGTGGTCATAGGTCGAGGACTACCTGTTCTTTTCTTCAACTCCTTCCAGATTTAAACTAGGAATGTTAGTCTATCTCATCCAAAATTAAGTTATTCATACCCTATGAGTTAATAAAGTTTTTCTCTATAGCATCTCTAGAACATGAGGTGATGAGGAAAATGAAATTATTAGTTTGCATTTTCATTTCTTGACAAAAAGATAAAACAATTAAATTCAAATATTTACAAATTTTATAATTATGCAGTCTATTAAACACCTCAGGCTACCTTATAATGAAACATGAAATAATCATATTCTGACTTTAATAAAAAATTCTGAACTATTAGCATTTTTTATTATATAAATTTGAAATAATTTGCAATAAAGTGGCTCAAGTTCAGGAACTGTTCTAATATAAAAAAGATACTGAATTGTATATTGGGGAAAAGGTACAGGAAAAGGATACAGAAATCAGTACAGCTGAGAGCAAATACTTTTAAAATTATAAACAGAATATTTACCGGTCCTGTTGGCTGCATGGGGCCATGAGACATATGGGGTGCCATCATTCCAGGCATCACTGACTGCATCATTCCAGGCATCTACAATCAAAGTATGATTATTGTATATGTTTAAAACTAGACACACTACATCTGTAACTATTTTTTGTTGATGGGAGGATATAGTTTAACCCTGTTCCCAAACAGGTAAATTGGGGCATAACAATAGAGTTATAAAAGGGTATATAAGTTTAACAAAGGAATCCAGCAATTGTCTGATGATGTTCCAAATAAATAGTATTAAAACTCTAAATGATCAGAAGCTTTAAAGTAGGCAAGATATTAATTGCTGAGGGCCAACAAATACGGACACTATTGTTCATCTACTCTTGATTGTCTTTCAAAAGGGAACCCACGACAAAACATGAAGAAAGAAGCAGACTGGTATGGAGGGATAGCAGAAAGATAAACAAGAATATGGGCCCATATGCTTGTGTCTTATTTTTAAAAAACCCAAACGTTAGACTACTTACAAGTCATTGAAGGAATGGGGCCCAATCCATTTAAAACCTCTAATTCCCAAACCAATTCCCTGTGACCTATGTAAACTCTATTAGTCTTGAGGGCTCATTTACCTCATCTATGAACAGAGGATAATACCTGAAGAACTTGTCTCACAGGGCTGGAGTAAGAGTTATGCTGCAAAGATGTTCCAAGATGAAGAGAACTATAAAGTTTAAGAATTATGACTGCAGGGTTCAAAAACATGAACTGTTAAAAAGCGGAGAAAGGCATGCAACAAGGATGCAAACTACCGTAACCAATTAAAACCATATCATTTTCCTTTTTCCTTAAATCAGTGTAAATATAGCGAGGGATAATTCTTACTATGACAATGATGCTGCAAGACAATACACACAAGGGTCTAATACAAGCCAGCTTGGGCATTTATCATATAGAACTAATTTCCGTGTGTATGCACATGGCTGTTAACCAGAAAAAATATTCTGAAAGAAAGGCAGAAGTTTTTTGAAATTTTCATCAGTCCTCATTGGGGACTTACAGAATGGTGACAAATAATTAATTGGCCGTATTCAGCCAATTTTGTTGGCAGTTCCCACAAATAGTGCTAGGGAAATCAACCCCCAAATATGTAATGACAATCCCTGAAGGGTTGGCCAAATAACCCCATTCCCATGTATCTTCAGGGAGCATCAGGTTATTGCTCCCTCTTACCTTCCATCTTGTGTGGAGGGAGAGGTATTTGGTAGGGCTACTGCTCCACCCTCAATCCACAAGGTTTTCTTGGAAGCGTGAGGAAGAGAAGAAAGAATGGGAGTGGCCCTCCCATTCCCCACCATCCTGTAGAAGCAGGAGAAGAAAGGAGTCTTGCCCCACTGCTGCTTCCAAATAAGTGTGTTCCAACCAAGAGTTGCTCCCTAAATATCTCCATCCAAATAGTTTTAGAAACACTTTCAGAATACAGGCCACCAATTATATTCTAGCCCCATAAAAGAAAACATTTACGCTTGACAAATCCAGGTTTTAGGAAAGCCACAAAGCTCCAGGGTTTATCAACTATGTGGTGGCTCTTAACACATGGATTTATAACCCATTGTCTTTGAATGGTAATCCTGTTTTAAGTACTTGGAGACATCCTTAATTTTATGACATATCACTTGATGCACAACTCAAGATATGCATAAATCAGTGCCTGGAGAAAGGAAATACCAATATCAATAGGAAAAAACATTGTTTAAATAAGAATAAACTGTGAAATATGATAAAATAAACTGGATAAGTGGAATACAGTAGCGCCCAAAAGCGATAAAAAAGAGCTTCTAAAGATTTGTTAGTTTTTTTCCTTAAATAGAAAAATAATATTTCTTGAAGAAAGTACTTAGGTTGCTTAAATGAATGGGACAATAGCCTCATATCAAAGATGTAATTCTCCATATTTTGTGGCAAACACATATACAGCCTGCCTTAGATTTCTTGGGATTCATTTCTAGTAATATGTGCAAGAAAATCGCCCATTTGCGTTCTATGAATTCTTCCTGATGGCCAAGTAGTAAAATATGCCAGACAACAGTAATGTGAGCAGAACAACAATTTAATACAAAGCAATAGCCTAGGGAATTCGATCAGCTATGTTAAATAGGCTGATAATTAGGGGCTTTGCAATTAATGAGTAATAAGGTAAGTAGCTGAACTGCTCAAATTACTTTCATGTTTCCTATTCATCATTCAACCTTGTTTAAACTATGTGCACCTAACAAATTAGGATACTGTCCAGAATGCAAAGGACTTACACGATCTTTAATGCTATATGAGGACAGAATGGCCTTTATTCATAAAAAAAGATGAAATCTTTTTATATTAGTGCAGGACTAGTACTAAGAGTGACTTTAAAATTCAAGGTTTGAATTAGTGTAAGTATGGACAGTATAGTACTGGGATTACTATCTAGAGTGGTAAGCAAAGGGTATTTTTTAAAATTCTGCTATATCACACTGAACACAAAGAGCTAAGGACACTACGAAAAGGGAAAATAAAAGCCCAGATCTGAAAAGGCTAAACTACTTATTGACATACAGGAGAAATATATTGTGGAGAAGGATTCAACCTAATAGTAAGGAATGTAAGGCCAACATACTTTCCTATCCCAAATATTATGCAGAAAAGTAACTGATCTGTTTAAGGAAAAAAAAATCTTCTGAAATCATTTAAGTCAGGAATAATGAGAAAAAGAGATTAAGAAGATTGTACTGATATGAATCAGTGCCAATTCCTAATGACCTATGGAAAGTGTTTAAAAGATAGAAATTACAGTACTGTTCCATTTTAAATTATTATATATAAAACAAAATCACAGAAGCTCATTTACCTGTCCCATTTGTGGTCCTCCCATTGGAGGCATCATTTGAGGCATCATCCCATGAGATACTGGAGGCATGTTGGGCGGCCTTTGGCCCATAGGATGCATTCCCATGGGTGGATAGTGAGGCATGCCTGGATGTCCCATCTGAAAAACACAGTTGAGGATTTTAGGAAAACAAGTGAAACAGAAACAAGCTATCTTCCAAATCTGGTTAATCAGGACTCTCAAAAGAGCAAGATATTTTAAACTGTTACAATATCACCAATATTGTCAATATATAAAAGTTTTATCTTTTTCCCTTTATGGACATTACAACTCATGATAGTTTAAAAACTTGCTATTTTATTATTGCAATTATTATTTGTATTTGTCATATGACAAGTCTCCAAGAAAAAAAGTATAGTAAGTATTAGGGATGCACAAAACGTTTCAATCTATTTTGATTTTGAAATGCTTCAAAATGTTACCACAGTTTATTTTGCATTCAAACACTACTGCTCTGTGTTTGAACAAGACATTCTGTGATTGAAACATTGTACATCAGATTTCAAATGATCCAGTCTCAAATATATTTTCTGCCAGATGAGAATGTCAGAAAACATTCTTCTGAAAATCTGAGTTGTAAAATCTGATTGTTTTCTCATAAAATGGTAGTTGAAATATGCATACAGCAGTTCATTGCCTCCAACAGAGTCCACTGAATTGGGTAGCTCTAAACAATTTAAATAAAACACCCAGTTATTTATGGCCATCCAGATTTGCACTGTCAGATCTAAAGCAATTAGACCTTTAATTAATTTAAATTTATAGGTTTAAATATATTAAAAAAGTAAATGTTAAAGTATGGGGAAAAATGAAAACTGCTTGTATGTTTCTTAAGTTTTAGTTGTACTGATAAAAAACATATGAATTCATCAGCTAACATAGACTGTTCAGTGCAAATACTGAGGCAGACATGAGTTTTACTAAAAATAAATTCTATCGGGTACCCCTAGCCATTAGCTTGTTAGTGATTTATGACTTTTAGACCCTAACCAATTGCATTTGGCTATCTCTTTGTGCATAACTCTGACTAAAGATCATCTAAAACATCTTTTGCTTGTATTATTTTCTCAAATCATTATTAGGGTAATCTGCAAGTCAGTTTTTTCAAGTGCCACATACAGGAAACTATGTATTTCAAGTCACTCATCTTTAAGGTTCTGCAATCAAATTGAAATACTTTTGTTAAGCAGATGTTATTTTGCTATTTTAAAATTTTAATGACATTTTGGGAGGGGGATAGAATAATGGCTTGATTTTTTTCAACTATCTTTAGATTGTAAAAGGAATAAAACATATTCATAATCTGCTCTGAATACCTTCATTACATTCTTAATTCTTTCAAGAAATAATTTGGGTAGCAAATCTTCAAACAGGAAAGACTTGGACAGCAAGTCTTCAAAGAGAAAATAACATGTATATTAGGCAGATTTGAGTATAAGTAGTATAATTTTTCTTAGGAATTAAGCACTAATGATAAAACTTTATTAAGTATTCCTGCAAATAATATTGTCATTGACCTACTTTGTTTGAAAATAGTGATAAGACTTGGCAACTTATGAAACATGAAGTTACAACTGTGCAAATGCTTCACATATATTGGTAACATTCACATGGAACAACAATAATGAATGTTGACTTGCCACTGAAACCTCATACTTTTCCTCCTGTAACTAAAGCACTAAATAAAATGGATTCATTTGTTTTATGATTCAAATCAAGGTTCTTGGCTTACTGTCCCCTTTTAAGGCAGTATTAAAAACTACAGGATTTTTTTTTTTTTGGGTGCTTTACAATGCAGAGGAAAAATCAGGAGTTGCAGGTGAACAGTGAAAGAGGAAAATGAAAGTCAATTGATTGCTCGATTAATAAATGAATAAAATAAACAAATATTTATAAATAAAATATAAATAAATTCATCCTAAACTGTAGTCCTTCAGAATTCTGGCTTGGTGTTCCAAATAATCATGCCAAATAATTTCAATTTGTTAAATCCTCTTTATAATGCAATTACTATAAAGCTAACAAATCTGAAGACTTATCTCTCTGGAAAAGGATCTAGTGCTGGGAAAGTTAGAAGGAAAGAGAAAAAGATGACCAGCAACAAGGTGGATGGACTCAGGAACACTAGCACTAAGAAGACCTGAAAACACCAAGTTAGGAATAGACAATCAAGGCATGGATGTGGTTGCTAGAAGTTGAAACCAATGTGACAGCACACAATCAACAATGCTGATTGGGAGACGATAATATAATATTCCTATTCCTGTTGATTCCCTACCGTATGCACTGCTGCAAAGATTAAGTCTCGCCATTCTCTGGAATGGTGGAAAAATATGAACTTAACATATGAAAAATATGAACTCCATAGATATCAGGCCTTTCCGGTATTCCTTTCTAGATATGCAGGGAAAAGAAAGCCAATTTGACAGACTGATTTATCAAGGTGCTTTTGCACCTTTCGCTTGTCATCCAAGAAGCTCCTTCACCTCAGAGCTGAAGAAGCTTCTTGGACGAGAAGCAAAAAACGTCTTCAAAGGAAAACCAGGAAGTCTTGAGGGGAAAAAAAAAAAAAAAAGCACCTCTGAGACAACCACGACCTGGATGTCCGAGAATCTCCACAGATATCGAGCCACAAGTTCAACGTTCATCCAGCATTCAGGCATTGGTTAAATCTCCCATTCCGGCTGGATGCCAAACGGTCTAAAAACCGGTGCCCAAAGACCGCCAGCGGTCCGTTACCGTTCAAATACGTGCACCTATATACCCTCTGAGGGAAAACTGCAGGCAAGGCAGAGAGGCGCCAACAAGAGTCAAGACTAATTCAGTCGGGATACCTAGACTCCCTCATCTTCAAATGAGGCCAAGAGGGAGGTGTTTTTTTTTTTTTAAAGAAAACTTCACGGTTATGAAATTTGGGACCGAAGCAAAAGCGTAAAACTTAACTTTCGCTTCCCACCCCCACCTTTCCCTCACCCCACCCAAAAAAATCGCCTGTCCACCTACCATAACAGACTCTCGGCCCATGCCGCCGCCGCCGCCGCCGCCGCCGGTTCCTCCCCCGCCGGCGCCCAGCCTCATCGCAGGGTTGAGGAGGCTCCCGCTGCCCGCACTGTTCCCGCCGCCACCGCCGCCGCCCCTGCCGAGGAGTCTCCCGCGGAGAGGCTGGCGAGAGGCCGGCCCGAAGGGAAGGAGCGGTTCGGGTTCCCCGCGCGGCGGAAGGAGAGGTGCTAGAAGACTGACGGGCTTCCCGGCAGGCCAGTCCGGCCGGCCTCCCATGCGAGCGCTTTTCGGCGACTGTTCCGGTCCGGGGGCTCCCACAGGGCGCACGCCTTCGCCGGGGTTGAGCTGCATCAGGGGAGGAGGCTTGGGCAGCGAGAAGGGCAACGGCTGAGGAGAGGCCGCGGCGGCCGCCGAGTCTCCACCTGACATCGCTTTCCCCCGGCGCAGGCCTGGCTCCGTCGAGCCAGCTCTGCTTAGTTCCGCCGGGATCCGAGGGGGGAGACCGTTAGCCGGAAACCGAACAGAGAAGAAGGGAAGAGAGACCGGACCAGGGACGCGGGTGAGGGGAGGGGGGGCGGGGAGGAGGGGTTACTGGTCGGAAGTCTGCGAGGTGGGATCACCGCGCACGCGGCCAGAGGAGGAAAGAACAAAACCTCACGCCGGTAGGGGAGCGGCTTCTGCTTCTCCTCTCGCCGAAGGCGGCCGAGTGGCCAAGATCGGAGTGTGTGTCTGTGCGTGGGGGAGGGGAGCCGGAATGGAGGCGAGGAGGGGGAAAGAGGGGAAAAGAGAGAGAGGAGACGCGCGCACCGCGGAGGACGCTGGGAAAGCAACTCGCTACGAGCGACGGAGGTTAATGGGCGGAGCTACGGAAGCCAAGAGGTACCAGTTCTGGGCGTAAAACAAGGCGGGAAAAAAAAAATAAAGGAACGTGGCGACGAAGGGAAGGTAGAGCCCGAGCCACGCGCGTACGCAGAGTTTCCCTAAATGGAACAGGGCAACCTGGGAGTTCCGAGCTCGGACGGTGGGCGTGGCTAGGCGAGCGGCGGCGTTCGGGAATCCAAGCGGGTCTTCATTGCTGCCGCTGCTGCTGTCGCGGCGATAGGTTTCTTCCTGGGGGAGGGGGGAACTTATTCAAGGGCTCTTTTTAAGGGTTTCCTCAGCCATCCTTTCTGCCCTCTAACAAGTGAATATTCCACTGCCATGGAGACACGCCATGCAGTTGTTGCGGTTAGTTACGGAAGAGGTGAAGGGGTTGAGATGTCGGGCGGGGTTTAACGGAGGGCTTTGAATTGAAATTGATTTTTTATTTTTTTTTGGCAGGGTCCCGAAGCCGCGGGGAGTAAGTGGCCGAGCAGGACCTGTTCGGTGCTCTGTTGCCTTGCGCTGGTTGCCTTACTGGCGCTCCTGATAGCCATCGTTTGCCTGGCGCTGCGAGGAGAGGCAGGGTGGGAGAGAGTGGTTCACCTTCCCGAAAGAGGGCAAGGTAGACATAACCTTAACCCTAATCCTAAATACAGTTTAACTAAAGATTGGATTTTCCCATGTATTTTCTTGGAGTGTCCCCCCCCCCCCCCCCCCCAAAAAAACCCTCGGAAAGAGAAGCTGTCAAAGTTGCTTTCCTTAGGAAAATCTCCAAAGATCTATCCCTAAGCATTAATGTTTGGCCAGGACGCCAAGAAGATCTAAGTTTCAGTTTCTTGGCAATGGGATTTTCCCGTATATTTTACAGCGGTCCACAAACGACTCCAAATGTAGGGTTGTCAATTTTGCTTTCATTCTAAAACTACTAGGAATCTGTTCCTATCATTAGCTTCCAACCATAACTAACCATAGACCTAAGCATAACGCTAGATTGATTTTCATTGGCCGTGGGATTTTCTCATGTATTTTACTGTGCTCCACAAACAAATCCAAATGAAAAGCTATCAACTTTGCTTTACTTCAAAAACCTCAATAAATATATTCCTAGCATTAGTTTTGGATCAGGACACAAAGTAAATTAGTTTTGGGCCATGACACCATGTTGACGTAACCGCAGCCCTAACCCTAAATTCATTTTAATTCAAGTGGGATTTTCCCATGCATTTTACTGTGGTCCACAGAAAACGCAGAACGAAAAGCTGTCAACTTTCTTACCTTCAAAAATCTCGAGGAATCTATTTCCAGCATTAATTTTGGGCCCTGACACCAAGTAAACCTAAACCTAACCCTACCCTAAATTCATTTTAATTCAAGTGGGATTTTCCCATGTATTTTACTGTGGTCCACAAACAAATCTGAACAAAGAGCTGTCAATTTTCCTTTTCTTCAAAATCCTTGAGCAATCTATGCCAAGCGTTAGTTTTGTGGCATGACACCAGTTAGACCTAACCCTAACCCTAAATACATTTGTTATGAGTTGTTTATGGACCTCAATAAATACATGGAAAAATCCCATTTGAATTAAAATGAATTTAGAGTTAGGGCTACGGTTACGTCAACATGGTGTCATGGCCCAAAACTAATATTAGGAATAGATTCTTCGAGGTTTTTGAAGGAAAGAAAAGTTGACAGCTTTTCATTCAGATTAGTTTGTGGGTGACAGTAAAATACATGGAAAAATCCCAGTTGAATTAAAGTGAATTTAGGGTCAGGGCTAGGGTTAGGGTTAGGTCTATTTGGTGTCATGCCCAAAAACTAATGCTAGGATTGGTTCTTCAAAGTTTTTGAAGGAAAGTAAAGTTGACAGCTTTTCATTCGGATTTATTTGTGGGTGACAGTAAAATACATGGAAAAATCCCAGTTGAATTAAAGTGAATTTAGGGTGAGGGCTAGGGTTAGGGTTAGGTCTATTTGGTGTCATGCCCAAAAACTAATGCTAGGAATAGGTTCTTCAAAGTTTTTGAAGGAAAGGAAAGTGGAAAGATTTTCCTTACGATTTGTTTGAGGAGCACAGTAAAATACATGGGAAAATCCCATTTGAATTAGAATGAATTCATGCTTAGGGCTATAGTTAGGGTTAGAGTTAGGTCTACTTGGTGTCAAGCCCAAGAAGTAATGCTAGGAATAGTTTCTCGAAGTTTTTGAAGGACAGGAAAGTGGGCAGCTTTTTGTTGTGAGTTGTTTGTGGACCACAGTAGAATATATGGGAAAATCCCCTTTGAATTAAAGTGAATTTAGGGTTAGGGTTAGGTCTACTTGGTGTCATGGCTCAAAAGTAACACTAGGGATAGATTCTTCAAGATTTTTGAAGGAAAGGAAAGTTGACAGTTTTTCATTGTGCATTGTTTGTGGACCACAGTAAAACACATGGGAAAATCCCATTTGAATTAAAATGAATTTAGGGCTAGGGTTAGGGTTAGGTCTCATGGCCCTAAACTAACGCTAGGAATAGATTCTTCAAGGTTTTTGAAGGAAAGGAAAGGAAAGGAAAGGAAAGGAAAGGAAAGGAAAGGAAA